GTGAGGGGGTGTGTGGGGGGGGGCGCCGGGCGGATAGGGGCGGAGGCGCCGGCACACCTCAGGAAGGTTTTCTTTCTCCTCTTATAGCAATTTCCAGCCTGAGGCAAAGGTATTGCTAATCCAAATAATGCCGCCTGAAAAAATGGGGACAAAAGTGGTGATCAATGCTAAAGAGATGAAAAAGGAGTCAGAGATTTAAACATGAGGAAAGTAATGATTTTCCTCCTGGCCTGAACATTTGGCCTGAACATTTGGCATAGCCAAAAAGTTGATGGTCCTAAAAGCTTTTCCTGACTCCTTTTGATTAACAAAAGAGGTTTCAAAGAAGAAATAACGAATCACTGAAAACATACTCTTGTTGCTTTGACTAACAAAAAGAATGGCTCGGAAACAGTTAATAATTCTGGCATTACTTTTTGTTGAATCTAGCATTGTTTTACCAAGACCCAGAAATTAGCAATGCAAAAGGGAAGAGTTAAGGAACATGTTTGCCCAGTCTTAGTTTGGAAAAGTCATCCCTTTCTCCTCTTAATATTGCTTATGTTCCCTGTGGCTACTAAAATTGATGTACACAGAAGATCACAGAACTAGCTATTGAAGACACCCTACTTTTCTTCACACTGGGATTCTTTTCCCAACCAGATATGCCCATCAGATTCCTTTTAACACATAAGGAGATCAGAACTATTTCCTGCAATTAATGTTTTTTGACCTGTTGGCTTGACCATAATACAGTGGTATCTCGGGATACGAACTTAATGCGTTCCATGACTCTGGGCGTATCCCGGGTTGGTCGTAACCTGACACAAATTTCCCCATAGGGTTCAATGTAAATCTGGTTAATCCGTTCCGCCCTCCAAATTTGGTCGCACCCCGAAGCAAATTTCCCCATAAGGTTCAATGTAATTACCTTTAATCCGTGCTGGCGTCCGCGGACCACGCGTCAGGGGCGGGAGAACGGCCGTGGACCCCATGGCAGGGGTGGGAAAAAGGGCACACACCCAGCGTCAGGGGGGGAAAAAGAACGGACCCTGAGG